CAATTCTTCTCTTGTCAATTCAGAGCTGAAACACAGCCACAAAGCCAGCACTGAAAAGCTGGTGTTTAGCTCTTCACACTGGTAACTCTGATGACCTGATAATAATGAAATGTTTCTGGGCTGGTTTAGTTCCTGCTGCTGCATGGACTTTAATATTGAAATACATGAATTTCAATGGGGGGAAAAAAAATCTGGATTTTTTTTCTAATTGGTTGTAAAAGTTGAGGGAGGGGACATCAGTGGGGCTCCATTCTAGCAAGTTCTAGACAGCTGGACTGGATTTATGCTGTTGCAGGAACATCCACTTGCCTCTCTGAAAGCTGGGATCTGACCGAGGGTGGCCAACCTCCAGGATTTGTGAGACACAGCTGCATAGCAGTTTCTCAAATATTAATTGTTTTCTTCACTTTCCAAAGCTGTTCCTAAAAAGCCATTTGAAAATGGGAACAGATCGTGAGTAGTCCCAGAAGCCAGAGACAAATGAGTGGGCTCTCTTTGAGTAGAGGGAGATAAGGACAGATGTGTCAGACACTGGCACTTTCTAGTATGCTGTCAGCCTATGGTAGGGCTGTTTCCCAGAAAATCTGTCCCAATTTATCACCTACTCTAGCTTTAAGTCAGTGTTGAGCCTAGTTCTGCAACTCCTCAAGGAACTGGTAGGGCTGATTCTGGGAAAGTGACTTCTTTAATTGCTCCAAGTGGTACAAAGGAAAAGATATACAGCTGTGCTGCAAAGCAGGTGTTATCATGGTGCCCTGTTCACACAGGTAAGGAGCAAACCTCTGTTGTAATTTCTTTATCAAACAGATCTGACACCCATATCTCTTCTGCATACCAAATATTCTCCTGGGCCCAGACACAAACACTGTAGTGGTCTGTGTTGTCTATTTAAGAGGCAGAAGGCTTTGTTTTAAGTCTACCCACTGCTGTATGTGAGCTTTTCCTCACTTTTGAAGGTTTAATTAGGAAAATGTAATGGCTTTGGGAGGTATATTGGTTGATATACTGAGTTTCCAAAGGGAATTTTATGATAGCAATATAAGAAAGTTTTGCTTTTCATCTGTCTTTACAGAAACCTTTCTTTACTAAGTCTGCATTTCTTGGAGATATTCTAGTTGCAAAACAGTATTTAATAGCATTCTTAATGCTGCCAAAGAAAATAGCCTCTCTCTTCGAGCCTTAGTCTTTGCCATCTAGTCTTTGTTTATATTCACCTCCAGACTTGTTTTTTGGTGAACAAAACTCAACAAAAGCCAGCTGCCCTGAAAGCTGACTGATCACTGAAGGTCACTGCAGGGAGGCTGGGATTTTCCAAGCCAGCCAGAGGTATTTCTGGGCATCTCACTGGTGTCCTAGTTCAGGATTTTAATTAGGTGTTGGGGGTTGCACAGGGAGGCACTGATACAGCTTCTTGACAACACAAAATTGTGGGAATCCAGGGCTTCCCTCTGTCTGCCCTGGAAGGCCTGGGACCCTGGCCCAGGAACCCCCCTGGACAGAGCCCCGAGAGACACTGTCTATGATCTCTGTCCATGGAAAAGAGTTTTCAATCTTACAGGATGAATTACAAGCTCTGAGTGTTTGATATAAGTAATAATTAAGTGTGGCACAGGTGCAAAAGTAAAATTTTAGGATTCTAGATTAGGGGTTCAAAGGGGACAAGATGGAGGAAATTGGGTGTGTCTTGTCCTTTTCCTCCTTCTTCATGCCCTCCATGTTTCACTGGAGTGTTGGCATTTTTCTATTGGTTTAGGCTGGGGACACACTGTTCAACGTAGATGACAGATATTGGCACATTATTGTAAATATAGCACATGTAGTTTTTGGTATATAATGTTTGCAACATCCCACTGGGGGCAGAGCCCCACACGCTGCCCTGCAGGACAGAGCTGCGGCAGGGCAGCAGAACATGTTAGAGATAAGCAAGAATAAACAACCTTGAAACCAGCACAGACGAATTATGGCTTCTTCTTTGGCAGCAGGGCAGACAGAAATTTTATACAATCTTGGAATCACCAGTACCCACAGAGTCTGACACAAAATGACAGCCTAACCACGTTACCAACATAGCCCAGGATGGAAGGAATTGTGGTCAGAAGTTTTGTTCGACAGGACAGACAAGTAGAAAATGTCAACTACATGCAACAGATTACAGTCAGAATCATGCTCTGCACAGACTCTGACAGCTCTTGAAAGGCAGAATCATATACCCTCCCACCTGTACAAATTCAAGCAAGCTGCTTCTGCTGTGCCACCAGCAGACAAGTGCTCTCTACAGAACTAAAGATTTTCATGGGGAAAGTGATTATGATGAAAGTTCCCCACTTTCTGCCCTGCTTGTTCCTTGTCTTTGAGACAAAAAGAAGCATAAATCCTACCAAGGCAAAGGATTTCTCAGCTAGATGCAATAATTTACAGGAAGAATAACTGCACAGTGATAGGCATGAGACAAGTGCTAAATTTACTACAGTTCTGTAGGGGCTAATCTTGCATTAAATGAAGACATTTAGTAATAGCCATTGCTTCTCATCCTGCTTCTGGATTGCTGCAAAACATCCCTGTTGTTCCTTAGTTCTTACTAAATCTACCATATAGTGGATCGTACAGTATGTTTGGCAACATACTCAAAAACACTGTCATTTCCCAGTGCACTGAAAACCAGTTGTTTGCCAGAAATAGCTCCCTGAGGGTCACACAAAGACTCTGCTGGGAGACAAGAGTTCCAGGTTCTTGCAAAACATTTGCCTTGAGGTGCCACAGTAATAATTGGCCTGTACAGGAATGTCTGTAACAAACTGCAGGAAGGCTGTGTTTCTAATGGCTCCATCAGCACGACTGATAACTGCTGCTGAACTTGGTGAAACAGGTGTTTACATAATGTGCATTTTCCTGGTGGTCTGATACACAGTAATATGCCATTATGCAGATTGCAAGTATTGGTTTTGGCCAGACAGCAGCTCTAGAGGATCTTTGAGCATAATGTTGTTTTTCAGTTCTGTGTCTCTTGATGAATGGCTTGTAGGGAAAGTAGGTTTTTCAGGCTTAAAATTTAATCCAGGGTGTGGACAGGAGAGCAGGACACAGCACACCCAGTCCCACATCCAGTGGTGTGAGCCGCTGGCTTCACTCTGTCTCTGTTTTTGCTCTGTCAGATGGAAGTAGTTTTTTGCTGATGGTCAGGACTGGTGCTTGGCTACCTAAGGGCCTAGCTTGGGGTTCCCTGGAGTCAACAGCAGTGGCCTTTTGAAGCCACCCTAGTAACTAAGTAAGTATCAGCTACTGCCTGATGCCCAAACCAACGCTTCCAAAGAGCGCCCACTTCCAGCTGGAGTCCTGTACCTTCACTCAAGGCCTTCAGCAAACTGGTTTTCAGCAGCACTGAGCTGTAGATACAATGGGAGATGGTAGATCTGTCTAAATCTGCATAAGATCTTGATACTGAAATCCTAGTTGCTGGAGGCTTTTTTGGTTGAAAAGTCTTTCCTGAGTTAGGATATGACAATGGTCATATAGCTTCAAAAATAAAAGATAGGATAGTCCTCAGGTGGATCCTTACAGTCAGAACTACTAATGATATACTATTACTGTTTTTATCCACTTCTCCCACTGGGATATTAGAGCACTCTCTTAAATACACTAAGTTGAACTTCCAGCTGTTGCTGATCTCAGCTAAAAAAAATAATCAGCTAATTCTGTGTGAGGATGTAATGGGGAGGTGCTGAACTAGCGTGGGAATGTTACTCCTGCTGTCTCTAAACATGCCCCAGAAGTGTCAGTAAGCACAGGATAACTGGTAACAGGAGCTGCTACAGACAGGCCTCTCTTGTCTGCTTGGCTAAGGATACACCAGTGGGGTGTCACCAATGAGAAGCAAGATAACCACCTTGAAACAGTTATAAATTTTCTGCCTTCTAAGATGGCTGTTTGGAATGTTTTCCTGTGTTTGAATGACTCCTCATTGTCCTTTTAAAGAAACACCATGCAGAAGAGTGTCTGAGAGTCCTCCAGCACATCCCAGCTGAAACAGAATCAGTCCAAAGCTATGGATATCCAAGGGAGACAACAGATCTGTCACCCATCAGCAAGGCTGATGCACTGCTCCATAGTAGGCATGGAACTCATGGACTTTCATCCCATGATATCCTTTGCTTCCCAATGCCAGTCATGGCCCTCCTCATGCTTGGGAGCTATAGCTGTGCTTTTTTTTCTCTCTCTTTTTTTTTTTTTTTTTTTTTTTTTTTTTTAATTCAAAAATATCTGGCATGGTCCCTGAAAAGAGTTCTGAAATGGATTTGGTGCATGAGACAGCTTGACCAGATTGACCAAACCACCAGAGAAAAGAGCCAGAAGGAATACAAATTAGGAGAAAAGGAGTAAGTTTTCCTCATGATTCCTCATAAAGATGCACCAATCTTCTTTAATTAGACCACTGGCTCTTGTACACCTTTACAAACAAGTTGCTGGATGCAGAATGCCTACCAAGACAACTAGTACTAATAATTTATTTTTCTTTTACCCTGGTAGACCAAAGAATGCAAAAGGCCATATTCTGCAACATCTTTGCAATTCCTGTTGTACCATGCATGCCTTGGAGAGCAAGTCTACAATGCTGTGGAAACATTAACACCTCTTTAGTGAATTTTGTGTTCAGATTTATTTCTTCCAGCACACATTAGCTATTCCTACCCCCTACAGAACAGGGTACAAAAGATTTCTGGGAAGCTGGGCTCTGGCTTTTCACAAAAGTAGAACAGACATGCCCTGAAGCCCTCCTACACGATACCAAACACTGCATCCAACAGACTTGCTGGTTAATGATCTTGCTCATAAGTAATGTTTTAACCTTAGCATGGTTTTTGTTTGCTTCAAAAGCCACAAAGCCAAAGAGGAAGTGTAGGAGAATGTGGGCAGGACAGTGGCCAGGAGCCTCATGACCTCATCTTTTTCCGCCACATGGGGATTGGTGGCTGTGCTTGGGACACAGCTTAAATTCCCGGAGCTCAGAGATGTCAGGCAGCAAGGGACAAGGTGAGAAAGCCAGAGCTGCTGAGAGCCAACTGGCTGGAGCTGCTGCTGGGATCACTAAGAGTGCTTTTGTCGTGGCTGGCTCCTTCAGCACCAGAAAAGGTAAATTTTCTTGCTTTTTTACCTGACATGTGCCAATCCATCTGCAGCTTTAGCCTAGGAAACACTGAGCAGATCTTTGAAAACTGCTTCACTGGGCAGGGATGTCTGATATTTCTCTGTGGAAAATGGTGTGTTTTTATAGGAGCAAGGTTGCTTTAGCAATGCCAGGTATTACACATAATCACAATTTTAAATTTGTGTACTGATAGATGTTGGAAGAAGGTTACTGAAAACCCTGCCACTGAATCATGCACTAGAAATTCAGAGCTTGTGACTGAACACAGAAAACTTTCTTCCTCATGTAATCACTGCCTGGCAGTGTCCTTGTTTCTCCTGGCAGGCTCATGGTTTGTGCTGCACAATCCTGAGTGAATGGGACAGTGAATGGGACACACTTCTGTGTTAAACTTGAAATTGCAATACTCCTATTAGAGTGTCCTGTCTCAGGGCCAGCCTTGCTAATGCATTTTAAATGTCACAGCTTTCTTTCCTGCTGTGACTTACCAAAGTTTTGAATGACTCTTGTTCATCAGTAAATCGGTTTAAATTCGCAGGGATGTTCCTTATTCTGGGAACTTGTCAGTAAGCACTGAAATTTACTGTAGCTCTCCTAATTTCAGCAGGAATCAATTATTTATTAAATTGCTAAATCTGAAATGTGAGCAGCTATAGGAGTGGCCATTTCACCTAATCTCTTGTTTGGAAACACAGGTTATTTTGTTCTAACATCTGGAGAGGGAAATGCAACCTGCATTTCCCTCTCAGTAAGAGCAGTTTATGTTCATATAAACTGACTTTACTCAGCAATTCAAGTTAATAACCCTAAATACTAGTTTCAAAATAGCTGACAAGACAACACAAATGGTTTGCCTTAACCTGCCTCTTTTTCAAAACAATTATGTTAAGTGAATGAAGATAAAAAGCTTTTTTTTGTAACAGTTTTTCACAGAGCTTTTCTTTTGCCTGTGCAAGTCAGTAGGCAACAGGAGTCAGTTCACCTTTTCAGTGTGGTTTTTCTCACCACTGCTCAGCTCTTCTCAGCATTCAGTTTCAGAATTCTTGTAGCTTTTTTTTTTGAGCTGCTAAGTCAAAACATTACAAGGTGGGTGGGAGGTGGTGATGAAGGATAGAAGAAATAAAATTAGTGTGGGCAAGTTGAATCCATAGGAGGGACCTGGTCTTGGCATAGTGAAGTACACCAGGATAAAGGAAAAGCCTATAGCATTTTTGTGGTATTTTACTTTATTGACTTACTGTTCCAAAATCTTTTCTAGGTAAAATATCACAATGAAGGTGGCAGTTCTGTGTTTATGTCTTATCAGCATCACAGCTGCATGGCCCGTGAGTAAATCACAAACACTATCCCCAGCACTTGCATTATTTCCTCTGCACATCAGCAAGAAACACTGATAAATGTTTTTTCTCTTTTCTTCCTTCAAGGTGGTTCCATCCAAGCAGCATGCCATTTCTGCCAGCTCAGAAGAAAAATATGTAAGCTCATTTTCTCTTTCTGTTAATTTTATTTGATGAATACTTTTTTGATTTTTGTTTATTTTCCTCCAAAACACATTTTCTGATACTTGGTCTATGATTGTAGATGCTTGCAGAACATGCCCTCACCTGGCTGTTATGAGCCAGTTTCGAAGCAGAGAGCCACTGATGTCCACAGACATTTTCCTGTGTCATGTGTCTTGGTTGTGGACTTTCATTAGTTCTGTCTCTGGACCAGCACTGCAAATCTTTTTTCTTAATGAAAATATGTTAGCTGTTAATTAAAAAGAAAAAGTGTCTGCAGTATGGCAAAATTGCTATAACCCACATTCATTAGTGTGAATCAGATAACAATATTTGGTGTTGGAGGATCATCTTAATCAAATATCCTATTTTTTTTTTGAGTGATGTAAGCAAGCTGCATTTAGTCTCGTTATATAGCTCTTGAATTCATTTCCCATTGCTGTTACCCTTGCAAAATCAATAGAGTCTTCATGAGGTGGGAGATAAATCACCCTCGAGAAAGGGCTTAAAATTAGCAGAAGCAATGATTGTCAGATATAACTCCACATTCCACTCAGTAAAAACAAGCTGGAGAAACTGATCCAATTTGCTCAGGCTCTGCCAGTGAGAGAGGCACATCTATCTATATTTTGGGTACAATGTTCATCTGGGATGATGGCTTGTACTGAGTTCTCTTCATGCTGCAAAGAACAGCTGAGCACACATCCCATACAGAAGGACTATGTATGCAGATGCCACATCTGCCTGAAAACTTAGGTTGGGATGCAGCAGTTTTGCCTGCTCCTTTGAGGGTTAACCCCTCCCTTTTATTTTCTCTTGAAGGACTCCAGGGGCCAACACTTGCACAGATATCACAACGACCATGTGAATTCTCAGTCTCAGGAGAGTCAGCAGCACCCACAGAGTGACCTGGCATCATCTCAGCAGGTACAGGCACCTAACTGGAAGAGAAAGCAGAGCATCTTTCCGTGCCAAGATTTGCAAGTTATGATTAAGTGCTTAAAGAATAGTCAACATGCTAATCAGCTCCGCTGTATGTGCCTTTGTGTACTAACATTGAGCTTTGTGTTACTTTCAGACCCTTTACTCTTCAGAAGAAAGCATGGATGTCCCAGAACAACTGGTAAGTGTTTTGAAGAACAGCATGTCAGTTGAGTGCTGTAAGGCAGCCAGTGTGGAACAGCTCTCATTTTCCTCACTAAAGTGTGATTCTTGCAGTAACATCTCTTCCAAAATAAAACAAAGCTCCAGACAGGGGGAGGTGAACTCAGTGCAGTGCCTGCATGTAGCTCTTCAACAGTGCCTATGCCCTGGGTCAATGGGACAGGTATCAGTCTGTACCTCTCACATCTGTGTTCATTTGCCTGATGTGTAATAAATGTTTTCCAGCACTTTCCTGATGTGTCAAGCAAGAGCCATGAAGATGTGGATGATGATGATGATGACAATGATTCCAATGACACAGATGAATCTGAAGAGGTTATCACGAGTTTTCCCACAGACATTCCAGTGACTGAACCATTCCCCACTGTCCCTTTCACCCGGGGAGACAATGCTGGCAGAGGTGACAGTGTGGCCTACAGGATGAGGGCAAAAGCTGCACTGTTGAAGTATATCAAATTCCACAAAGATGCCAAAAAGGTGAATAGCATTGACCAGTGGTGCCCATGTTCTTGGAAATGGGGAGTGAACTTGAAAATGGACATGGCATTTTATGGGAGTTGGTTTTGAAAACTGTTATGGGGAAAGTAGGCATAAGTGAAGGAATGCATTTCCTTTCTCTGGATACCACAGATCAGGGGTCTCCATGGCTGCCAATGCACTGGTGCAGCAGTGCAGCTTGCTACTGCAAGCTGTGCAAAACTGCAGTTTGCACTGTCACGATATGCTTTCACACATTAAATCTGAGGCCAGGAGCAAATGAGAGTTTCTCATAATGTGAAAGGTTCATGTAACTCCATAAAACACCAGAGTAACTCCAGGCAGGGGTTCATCACGCAGGCTTTGAGCGTCCCTGCAGTCTGAGCAGCCTGCTTTAGTGCAGTACTTGACACAGTAGTTCCTCAGGAGTGACAATGGCTCTTATTCTGCTCTCTAATACAGCTCCTCTATGATGCCACTGAAGAAGACGAGAGCGACATGGATGCAGCCAGCCAGCGCTCTCTCTCCCGGGAGAATCCTGCTTTCCGTAGGTCGAAGCCCGCCAGCAGCGTGGTATGGTCTGACCAGAGCCACGGGCGGGACAGCAGCGAGCAGGACAGCGACCCACATGATCGGAGCTTGGAAAACCACAGCTGGCCCAAATCCGACAGCCACGAGGCACAGGGCGACAGCAGCAAGTCTGGTGTCAGAAGGGACAGCCTCTCGAGTGTGGAAAGCAGGGAGAGGGGGGACAGCCTCTCGAGTGTGGAAAGCAGGGAGAGAGGGGACAGCCACCCGAGTGTGGAAAGCAGGGAGAGGGGGGACAGCCAGCCGAGTGTGGAAAGCAGGGAGAGGGGGGCCAGCCACCCGAGTGTGGAAAGCAGGGAGAGAGGGGACAGCCACTCGAGTGTGGAAAGCAGGGAGAGAGGGGACAGCCACCCGAGTGTGGAAAGCAGGGAGAGCCCGGACCGCGTGTCAGCTGAGCTCGCTGACGGTATCAGCAGCCAAACGCTGGAAAGTGCCGAGGATTCTCAAGATCGTCACAGCATCGAAAGTAACGAAGTCACCCTTTAAAGGGAGATAAAAGTAATATTTCCCTTCTTTTCCAATCCCTGCTTAAGAGAAGCGGAGAGCGGCTTCATTGTGGGGAACAGTTTGTTAATGTACTTGCGTGGTGACTTTTGGGGTTCGAGGCGGTCCCCTAGGGCTGTGCTAGCGGAGGCTGTGGGACACGGCGAGGGGGTGCACGCCGCTCTCTGCGCTGCCGGGCGGTGTTTTGCTGTAACGGGACGTAAATAAAACCTCAAAACCCTGTACCTGCGTTACAGTTCTCTGGGGCTTGGACCGGGCGGGGGAGCTTTAATATTTCTTCTTACAGTGATGTGAAATGGCTGTTCCTCACAAATTTAACCAGCACAACCTCTTCGCGAGGCCTCCCCGTACTTTTGCCGAGGATGAGCGGGACTCTTAACACCCAGCGCTCCCGCAGAGGCGGTCCGGGGCTGCCCTGGAGAGGGGAAGGAGGCGTGGGAGGAGGAGGAGGAGGAGGGCGGGAAGGAGGTCCCGGCCGCCGCTCCCACCGGGAGCCAGGGCCGACTACATCTCCCTCCGTACCCCGGGCTTTCCGCCGGGGGCGGGGAAGGGGCGGCGGCGGTGGGGCCGATGGCGGGCGGCGGCGGCTGCCGGCGCGGCCGGGAGCAGCTGGAGCTGGAGCGGCTGGGGCAGGCGGCGCGGCCCGGCTCCCGCCCGCCGTCGCCGCCGCTTTCCGCCTGCTCGCGGCAGGCCTGGAGCCGGGACAACCCGGGCTTCGAGCCCGAGGAGGACGCGGCGGCGGCGGCGGCGGCGGCGGGGCCGGTGCTGGAGATGGACGTGGAGTGGGGCAGCCGAGCCGCGTCGTCGCTGGGCAGCGGCGCGGGGCCCGCGGCGGGCGGCGGGCGGCGGGCGCGGCGCGGGCCCGCGGGGCGCGGCGGGGCCGAGGGGCCGGGCCGCCTCCCGGGGCCGCCCGACGGAGCCGCGCCCCGCCGCGCCGCCTGGGCCAAGCGCCTGGCGCGGAGACTGCGAGGTGAGAGCACCCCGCACCCTGACCCGGCTCCTTTTCCATCCCCGTCCCGGTTATTCCCCCCGCACACAGATGATGCTCCTTCCTCTCCCCACCTCTCTGCCTCTCAGCTCTTACTCCTGGCTGCTTTCCGTGTAAGGCACTCCCGCATAGGGGAAGTTTAGGTTGGACATTAAGAGGCATTTCTTCACAGAAAAGGTGGCATTGGAATGCACTGCCCAGGGAGGTGGTGGAGTCACTGTCTCTGGAGGTGTTTAAGGAAGACTAGATGTGGTACTCGGTGCCATGGTCAAGTTGACATGGTGATGTTGGCTCATAGGTTGGGCGTGATGATCTCCAGAGCTCTTTTCCAGTCTTGGCTTTCTGCACCAGCACGAGGTCTTTACAGCAGAATGCTTGTGCTTCTTTCTCAGCAATACCCCATTCTATAGAAGAGGTGGTTAGGATGGCATGGGATACTTAGAGTGAGCTGCTTGGGAGAGTGTTTGAATCCCTTTTCTGCAGTATTGTGCAGTGCCTTGGTGCTGCCCTTTAAAATCAAGTGCTGTCTGTTTTCACACAGCTGGTGACCAGGGACAGAGTTGGAAGCAAAACTGGGCACACATCAAGTGAACATTTGAGGTGTCATTAAAAGCTTACTGCAGTAACTCCCTGCTGAGCTGGATTTGTACAAGGTTGATTTGACAGCAGCAGAGAGAATGCTGGATGGGGAGTCCTTTGGATTTAAGGTCGTGGGAGCACATTGAAAAACCCTCCTTTCTTTTCAGAGAAGCTTAAGATGTCAGCTTCAAACTACAAGGATTTTAAACAGAGCATTGGTTCAAGTATTGGTCAAAATCTTTATAGTTATAAAGCTACAGAAAAAGCAAACCACATTTAGAAAATAAAGATTCTTCTTCTGAAATGTGGATTTCTGAAGTGGTAGATAGTGCTGTTACTGGCTGCCATGGCATCAGTGGAACTCTCAAAACAAACTTGACTTTAAGCAAGGATTTGTACCGTCTCTGATTTTCATGTGCATTCAAAGATTGTTTGCTGTAATGATTTCTCTAGCTTTGGCTGTATTGCACCAGAAGAAATCCCTCTTGAACATTGCAATATCTTAGCGGAATGCAAGTCAGACTTGCAGAGATTATGGAATAGACCGTGTTTTCTTTTTAGCAGATTTTATTGGGACCATGTTCAATGACCCAAGTCACTTCATAACAAGAAACCAGAATAACCAGGAAAAACTACCAGTAATAATTGTGTTGTGCATGAACTGGCACTTTTCCGTTTGGAGTCTCCAGTGGTGTGTTTGTTTTAGTCCATTGCTGAGATACGTAATTGCTTAGGAAAAGAGCTGCTTCACGTGGAGAAAGTTAAGTCCTTTTATAAAAACTTTTACAAAGTTTTTATAGTTCAGATGCTCCCTTCATCTTAGTTGTTGCCAAGAAGGAACCTCCTGTGTATGTTTTCAACTGTGGTGGAAAACAGCAGTGTTTATGCATGAGGTAACCGTGAGTGACCTGGTGGTGACCTGGCAGGTGTCACTCCTGTTCCATCTCTCTTGTGATTTGTGCACTAGTACTCAAAACATTTTCTGTTGGTTCCTGACCCCCTTCTATAGGTGATTGTAGCTAAAAGTACCGTAGTTGACAGATCCTTTTCTGGCTCTTTGATGAGAATGTTTCCATAAATTCCTCAGCACAGTAAATGTGTGGGTGAGACTTTGGTGCTGTGGAGGTGCTGCAGGGAGCTGTAACTGTTAGATTCGGATAAGTAACACCTTATCTGAAGAATGTGATCCCTGTGCTGCACAGTATAAAGAGGCTGATTGCAAGCCTGACATTATTATAGGGTACTTGAAGGATTATTGCAGGTTTACTATTAGAAAGAATACTTCACAGTTCTTTTGACATTCCATGGATATCTTATGAGTATCTTTGAAGACTGGAAATGGTGCATTCAGTTTTATTTCAAGGACTACAGGAAAGTTGGCATAAATTTATTTAATGGAATTACATCTCACTAGAGAGAATTCAAAAAGAGGGAGCAATCCTTTGGATATCACAAGTGATAGTGTCACCATGGCAAAAAAGGTGCCACTTAGTATTGAAGGATGTTCAATGACAGATGGCACTTTACTTGCTGTGAGTTATGAAAGAAAAATACAGAGAGGATTTAAAGTATCGGGATTTTGGTAATTGCAACTGTTGGGGAAAAGGTAACAGACGTTACTAAGTGAATAGAGACGACTATCAGTAGTTGAGGTTCTTCTTTATATGGATTCTGTTCAGATTCTAACATGAGTGTTTGTGAAGTGCCTTTAGTTCCTCTAGTTTTGCAGATCTCTTCATCAAATACCCCAGATGCTGAGAGGAGAAGAGGGGCTGATTATTCTACTCTGTTAAGGAGGAAGTTACCAGAACTTTTGATGGGTAAAAACAAGATATTCCTGCATTGTAGAGCTGTACTTGGTCACCCAGTGCTGCCATATCCTCATGTGTGTCATCACTGATGTGTGTTGGCCATTTCTTGAAAGGTTTTCTTAGTTATTGTTATGTAAAGGTACAAAATACCCTTCCTAGTCACTCATTAATTGATACTTTCATGAAGACTGCTACATACAGAATGCATATGAGCAACTGTTAGTTGCAGATTTATTTGATAAAAATACACAGATTCTGTCAAAGTGTTGATAAATAGCAAATGTATATAAGAAAACAAATCAGTTTTGTTGCTTGCAGCAGATGTCAAATCCAGCACTGCTTACTTCTACTATGTTTGATACATCTAAATCAATGTTCTAATAAGGGGGAAGGGGAATAATATATTTACATTGCAAAAATGTAACAGCTAATGAAAGCTCCAAGCTAACTGATGGGAAAATTCATTGTTCATTTAGCACAAAAATCATTGTGTGATCCCTGGTGCTGTTTCGTTGGATTTTTTCTTTGCTGAAACTTTGCTGACTTGACTCCTAACGATAGTCTAATATGACAGAGTTTGAGTTTGGAAACTTTCTGCTTCTGCTCACCACATTTCTTATTGGTGAGTAATGTGCTGACAGCCAGGACTTGGCTTTCTCGCCAGCTTAGCTCACTGGCTTTTCCAGCCTTTTCTTCCTCTCTTCCATAATGTCTTCCTGCCTTTATTATGAAGGTTGCTAGTGCAACACAGTGCTGTGCTAGAGGCTGAATTTATTGAGTTATTATTATTAGTGACTCAGTAAATGTTCTTGGATTTATGTTTTTGTCTTCAAGAATGACCTAATGGGGAGGATTTGGCGTTCAGTGTAGTAAAGTTGCAGTCTTTATCTGCACATTTTCAAACTTGGCCTTAAAGAGCAGCTTTGAAAAAGCTCTCTTATTTGGGGGCTGACACTAGGGAAGGCCCTAATTTACCAGTTAAGCCATGTGAACATGTATTAATGCTGAAACTATTACTGCTTGCTGTGCCTGTGCAAGAGCAGTTTCCAGGTTTATGTCACAACTTAAAAATGTGATAGCTGAAAGGCTTCAAGAAACATCTAACATGTTTTTTTGTTGTTTTTTTTTTTTTTCATTTATGCAGGTAGAGGGAAGAGCTTCTTTATTCCCATCTCTGTTAGCAAACAAAGGTTTGCAGCAGCTTAGCCTATTGTTTTAGCCTTACAGCAGTGGTTGCAGATTGGCTGAACTCATGCTTCATTGTCAGGTTTATAATGTGTTTTGGCTATCCCTTGTTACTGTTCCATTTCAAATTACTGTGGTATGTTTGATGGATCCAAGATTTTTCCTAGGGAGTTTGAGGTTACTACATTTCCATCTACTGAGAATGTAAATGATGTTTTGAAAGGTTGGCTTTTTAAAACACCTGAAAAAGATGGAAATTTACTGCAGTTCTGTAGGAGTGAATTTTTAGTTTTAAATGCTTTTTCACTGATCGGAAACTGAGGTCAAATTACCTTGCTTTAGGTTTAAATGAAGAGAAGCTCCATGAAGGGAACAGTCTGAGCAACAGGAGCTGTTCCTGTCTTTTTTTTCTGTTCTGTACTAGGCATAGGAAATGAGAATGGTGATTGCTAACTGTGTTTTGTTTCAAGGTGGTTGTTCCTTTTAGAGACTCCATTTAAAAGATCCTTTTGTTTTTCTGTTATCCACTTGGAAGAGATCACCAAAGTTCAGGAGCTTCTCTCCCTGTCCTTTTGGGAATGTCAAGCATTACATGAAATGAAGAACCAGCAGAAACAGTTCAGCTGATGCAGTTGTTCAAGCTGACAGCTAGACTGGACGGCAGTTGCTCATTTAGGCTGCTACTGATGTTTAATTGATAACTCTTTGTTGTGCAGGGAAAGAAACCATGCAGAAATGCTCACCAACATCCCTACTGTGTCTCTTGTTTATCTGAGAGGGGAAGGTTATGATAAGGTGTTTTAAAAATAAGTTTGACTCAAGTATCCTCGTTTCATGTAGAAAATTAAGACTACTCCTAATGGCTCAGTAATGAATGTGCATTTTCATTCATTGAACAATGATTTGCATGTTTAAAAGAGAATATACCAAAGCACTGCATTTCCATTTCTTGAAGGATGGCTGTCTGTGCATGTCTCTGTATCCTTGTATCTGTTTTTATACCTTGTGGTTCTAAGCAACAGCACTTCTGCAAATCTTCCACAGTCTGTTAGAGTTCTGCTGAACTGTTCCTAAATTATTATGGTATCACATTGATAGTTGATACTGCCTCAGGCCCCATTCTGTCTACAAATGAAGCTCCTCGCTTAAACTTAAAATCCGTAGAAGAACCTGCAGCAAAACAAGCTTAAGCTTTCAACACCACTTACTATGTCACTTACAGATGTACCAGACATCTGTGCACATCATTATGTATCTCTTTTTCCTTTTAAGGTCTGTGGGGGACAAGACTCATGGAAGAGAGCAACACCAGCAGAGAGCAGTACTTGAAAAGTATTTTACGGGAGCTGATCACATACATGGTTTTCCTTGTGGTCCTGTGTGTCTGTAAGTACTATTCAGCACCAGTACATCCAGTTGAGTGCTACCTGCTTATTGTGATTCCAGAAAGAAGGTTGTTTGATGTAGGAGAAGAATTAATAGATAGGTAGGCAAATACTTAGAATCAAATAGTTCTCTTCTTTTCTGTGCATGGACTGTTGATTGAGACTGAAAATACTACAACTTTCTGCACCTTAACAAGTTTAGAATCTTCAGGAGGGATGATAATAGACTTGTTCTTTATTTTAGAGAGCATTTTTTATTGTAGTACCATATTGCATGTGATACTTCTGCTACAGTTTTTGAAATCACTGAGCAGAAATGGTAAATGAAGAGGAGGAGTTAGTCATCCAGGACAAATAATTGAACATTTGAAGTTTATCAGCAAGGTTATGTACAGATCACAGCTGGAGACTACTGTGGTTTGTACCATTTGTTGTCTTGATACCATATGAAGTATCATAACATAAAGAACACAGAACATAGTAGCATTCAATTTACAATGCAAGAAATAACTTCTTGTGGAGTTTCAAAATATCTGTTTTATTTGTTTGCTAGGGAGAAAACCAACAAATTGTGTACATTAAATTAGTGTATCTTTAGAAAGCCAGTATGTTTCAAGTCTCCAATTTTTAGTGTGAGCAGTTCTACCCTAAAGGGCTGAAATGTTGGTGACTCTTGAGTTGCCATTTATGATCAGTTGTAATACAGCAAAGTGCTGTTTTAAATTTTTGTGAGGGGGAATTTCAGAGTGGAAAAGCAAAGGCAAAACTACACTGGTAAACTGTCTCTGAGAGCAAGTCTGCACTGCTGGAACGTAACGGAATTAATAAAAAGCCCAAATTTTATACTATTGACATGACTGTTGTACTGCAGACATGTTTATATATTAAATATCATGTTTTTTTCCTTCCTGAGTTATTTAAGAATGCTTAGAACAGGTTTATGAACAAAGCAGAGCGAGGGTGCTTGTGGTTGGCACACTGTAGCTCCAGGAGAAGTGTTGCAGTGAGAGGCCTGCCTTAATGTGAAATTTGTTTCAGCAGGAGAAATTTGACTCTTAACAGGCTGTTAACTATTTGTTTTGCTACAGAAAAATATGTTTGCTAACTGAATAAAGGAAAAAGATAGTGTGTTAAATATCTGGAGATATTGCTAACTTATTAGTATTTTTAAGTATCCTTTTTATTTTTCGCATGAACAATAACTGGAGGTCAGTCTGGTCTGTGGCTTCACATGCCCTAGGAGAGTGCTTCCCAGTGCAGGCTAAATGCTGTGGGCATTTCTTGTTCTCTTATCATTTGGAGAGTACATGTTTAGAGAGAATTCAGGTATTGCACAGTCACATGATACATTCCATGTGCACAGCAGAACTCTATTAAAAATTCTTAATTAATTAAAAAATTCTTACTCTCTGGTCGTTAAGGGAAACAAAAAAATTATAAATTTTATACAATTACCAAAACTGACAGTGATTGTTCAGTGTAGGCCTAATCTTTCAGACTCCTCTCTGAGTTTTAGCCATAGAGTGGTTCAAGTATTTACAGGTAGTAACAATACCTATCAGCAATGGAGAGACGGGGACATGTGAGCTTGGATCAGAAGCCAATTTTATTGAGAATATAAGGCTTTTATATATGATTTTACTAGTATGGAACTTATATAAGGTTCTATTTTTGGTAACAATTTCCCATTGGTTACACATTCTTCATGACGTCATGTCGCTTGATAACATTATCTTATCACAAAAGTTTCACAACATGTCTCAGGCTCCTTTATCAGTTCCATTGTACTCTCTGTTTTATTCCCCATAAATACCCATGCCAGAGACTATTTCCTCAACCCATCTTAGTTTTGTACATCATTTTATAGTTAATGCTCTGTGGCCCTTAGCCATATATTTGGCCCTGTGTGAGGAAAAGGAGTAATACAATAATTTATTTTCTGTAGGGAGTTTCTCTTAAAGGCACTGCACATCTGTACTGGATGTTCATTGCCTAATACATGTCATTCCCAGTGCCCTAGTATCCTGGTTGAGTGTCATTATCTGCTTAAGCAGAGCATAGTTGTCCTGAGGTCTTTGTGCCATCTGTGCCAGTTCTCCATGCATGCCTTGGATGGCACAAGCCACCTAAAAAGGCACTGCCTGCCTCTCTTCAGGCTGCTGAATTGTGCCTTTATTTTCGTTGAGGTTTACTTTGGAAGCAGCATTAATAATATAATGAGGTGTGGAAAGGAGAAGAGAATATTATAAATTGATTGATCAATCTACCTTCACTGCATTTTCTATTTTAGTCACAGTTGACAGATAAATGCTGCTTGGTGTGGATTTTGTTTTGGAGCTTAATAGTTCCACTACAAAATCTGTACAAATACAACCTGATGTATTCAAAATAAATAAAGGTTTGGTGGGGTTTGTTTGTTTGTTTGGTTTGGTGTTTTTTTTCTCTTTCCTTTATTCCTTTATCTCTCACTCCTTGCCAAACCTTCTGCAGTGACTTACGGGACAGTGAGTTCCAGTATGTACTATTATACAAGGGTTATGTCACAGCTCTTCCTGGAAACACCTGTGTCAAAAACGGAGAAAACTGATTTCAAAACTTTGTCCACAATGGATGACTTCTGGAAGGTAATCTAAACCCAAGTTTGTGTATCTCTGTTGCTGTGGTTCACTGGTACTGTCATGAACTGTAAATTTAACCTTCAGAATCTTATTTCCTAACGTGGTCAGGCTTGTGCATGAAAATCTATGTGCACAATGTCAAAGCTATGGAACAAAGTAGGCCATTAATATGTGAATATTTAGAGCTCAAATAATATTGGTTGGGCAGGGTAGGGCAAGTTTGTGGGATGTCTTTGGAGGACAGGTAATACTAAAGTCTTATGTCAGAGAAATTATTAACTGCAATTCTAGCACTTCTGTGGAATGAAGATCTACAAAAACAGTGCTGGCAACATGCAAACTGAAATTCTGCCATCCTCCCTAGTTCACAGAAGGCCCTTTGCTGGATGGTCTTTACTGGGAGATGTGGTACAACAACAAAACCATGGCAGAAAACAAAAGCTTCATTTATTATGAGAACCTGCTCCTAGGAGTGCCTCGCATTCGGCAGCTGAAAGTCAGAAATGGTTCCTGCTCCATACCTGAAGATTTAAAGGAGGAAATCAAAGACTGCTATGATGTCTATTCTGTAGCTAATGAAGATACTGCTCCTTTTGGACTCCGGAATGGAACTGCGTACGTAGCATTCCTGTAGACACGTGCTCATTTTTTATATACTTGTGACTCATTTTTATATCTTAATTTTATGGTGTTAGTCAAAGGACCTTTGTAACTTCTTTCTCAGAGGTTACATCAAAACTTTGTAGCAAGGACCTCATTAATTAAAGCGTATTTAATAGCTAATAAATGTTTCTTGGTCATGTTTTGTTGGTATCTGTTTTATTAATTGTAAGTTGAAGGTGGGAAGACCAGTGTGCTCTCTTTCACTTCTGAACTAGCTGGACGTACACCAATGAGAAGGATTTGAATGGCAGCAGCCACTGGGGCTTGATTGCCACATACAGCGGGGCTGGTTATTACCAAGACCTCTCAAGGACCAGAGAAGTGACAGCTCTCCAGATTGCTAGCCTGAAGAAGAACCTGTGGCTAGACAGAGGGACCAGAGCAACCTTCATTGATTTCTCTGTGTACAATGCAAACATCAACCTGTTCTGCGTGATCAGGTATAAACAGAACCACAACAGTGTTCAGTTGCACAGGGTGGGTAGTAGACTTGGGGCTTTCTTGTGATGACTTTGTTTTGGGGACATAGGTGAGTGTATGTTTTGTGTAAAGGGGACAGACAACTGAAATGCCATGCCTCCCTTTCAAAGAAGTGAGACTCCTCATGGAGTCTGTCCTGGCTTTCCTGGTGCCATAATGCCTTGGGTACAGTTTGCAGGAGATCTATCTGGGCAGTTGGCATATTCAAATAATCACATGGATATAGAGCATCAGCCTTTGGTTTAGACAGCATGAGACAGGCAGAGATGAAAACAAATCTTTCTGTCTCTGTTTCCTCACTGTTCCTGAAAGGCTTTGAGTTTTAGTCAAAATTGAATGTGGTCATGTTTACAACTTTTGTGTGGTGTGAAAAATTGGAATCATATGTAGGTTTGTTTCTGTTATTTACATAATTATACAAATAAACCCAAGTGTCTTTTAGTAGTACTTTTCATCAGTTCTGGTTAAATTAAATTCTTCTTTTCTTTGCCTTTTTTTAAATGCAGGTTGCTAGTAGAGTTTCCAGCTACTGGAGGCCTGGTTACGTCTTGGCACTTTCAGCCTGTGAGGCTGATCCATTACATCTCCACTTTTGATTTTTTCCTGGCAGCCTGTGAAATGTCCTTCTGTCTTTTTGTTCTATATTATATGGTGGAAGAGATCTTGGAAATTCACATTCATAGACTGTGCTACTTCAGAAGTGTTTGGAATTGCCTTGATATCCTTATCATTGTGGTAAGTAACCTTTGTAATCAGGCTAAAATTGCTTTCTAAAGTGCACTTTGTGGGACACATTAATTACTCAGTGTTCCTGTTGTGGTTTTAAGGTACAGGACCATCATTAGGAAGGATACTTACAGACTATTAGGCTATTCAGTCTGAATATTGACAATTTTAATCTGTGTTACCATATTGGTATGTTTCACAAAATTGGTTGTTCTGTCTTCAGTGCTTTCAGCCTGGTGCAAAATTAGAGTATTTGTCCATCATGCATCTTTTGTTTATATAGACTTAGCTTTTTTTGGAAGTGGCAAACTTGCCCTCCCTTCTACATACCTGGTACAGACTATTGCACTGGTTTTCAAATAAGAAAATCATCTGCTTTAAAGGAGTGGTTTGCATTTCAAGGAATGGGACTGAGATTTGAATATGTTTGCAAAGAACCACAAGGAGATTTATCTTGGTATTAATACTCACCAGCTAATACCAAGTTTGAAGAAATGCCTCAGAATTGTAGAATGCTAGAAACTGTTTAGGTTAAGTGGACAGTGTTGCACATCAGTAATCTTAGTGCACCAGAAAATATGAGCTTTGGATATAAAGCTGCATAATATAATTCTCTCTGGACACAGCTCAAGCTGTGCTTACCAAAAGTATACAAAGCCAGAAATGCTGAAACAGTTCCAGTCCCATACTTGTTTTGTATCTTCAGTCTTGGATTAATCAAAGATTTCAAGTCTTGAAGCCAATATTTGTAATCCAGGGAAATCATATATGTATCACAGTGCTTTGTATATGAAGGGCTGCTTAGGAGGATGTTTACATGAACTGTATGCTGTTTTTTACACTTAATGGTTGGGCAGGGATAAAATGCTTTGCTGTTAAGTCAGTGAAGAGTATTCAAGTGTGAGTGTAAAATTCAGTTCATACAAGAGGTCAGAATTCTGTGTTTATGCCTTGCCTGAGGGGCATTGTTTAAATGTAGGATTATGTACTTATGACTCTCAATATGTGGCGAAGTGTTCACTTACAGTAATGAACAGCACATTTGCAGAAGTCAAAGTAAGAAACCTCTGTGGTAGAACTGCAGCTTCTCTGGGCAATACTGCTTTGTCTGTGCTCTGGAGAAACTGCAGTACCTTTTTGGCTGCTGCTGTCTTTCTGCTCTGTTGTTCTTTTTCACTTTTGTCTGTTAGAGTTGTCATATTCCCTTCCTTACATTTTCTTCTCTGTGACAATATCACTTCTATAATCCTTCTAGGTGCCACTGTCATATTGTTCTTCACAAACAGTGGCAAGTAAATGACTTCTAAATCTTCTTACTCCCAGACTATTTGTCTGTAGTCCAGGACCATAATGGTTTTACTGTGAAGTGCATGAAGTTCCTCATATCTTAACTTTATCTGACGTAAATGTCTCAAACAAGTTGTTTTAAAACCCTAGTTACCTTTTGTAAATTTGTGTGTTTCTTTTGTCCTCAGCTGTCTGTAGTAGCTATAGGAATTAGCATCTATAGGACATCAACTGTTGATATGCTCCTGAAGAAGCTGCTGGAAGATCAGAACTCATTCCCCAATTTCGAACCCTTGGCATATTGGCAAATGCAGTTTAACAACATTGCTGCAGTCACTGTGTTTTTTGTCTGGATTAAGGTAATTCAAGACACACATCCTTATTCTAACATTAGAGTGTAAGCAGTATTCTGAGTTTCATTAGACACATTATTTGAGATTTACTCATGTTTCTCTCAAAGTCAATCATGTGAGAAAGTCAGAACAGTGATAACTTCTTGCAGATGAAAAGCTAAGTTGTAATTTGCCATAGTAGTAGTAGTCAGCTCTTGTTTAGGTCTAGAAGACGTAGTTAGTGCTTGTGTTTTGTTAGCAGACATGTTAAGAAATGTTTTTATTATTCCTCAATTGATAAGTCAGTAATTCTTACTGGGTACTGCTTTGTCTCCAGCCATGTTCAGTAGGACATCTCATGTAAAAGAGTGGAGAGGAATTTTTTTAAGAAATTGTCTTCCCCCTCTTTTCAGCTTTTTTCTTTTCTTTTTTCTTTTAACAGCTTTTCAAATTTGTTAACTTCAACAGAACGATGAGTCAGTTATCCACCACGATGTCTCGCTGTGTCAAGGATGTAATTGGCTTTGCCATTATGTTTTTTATTATTTTCTTAGCATATGCTCAGTTGGCCTATCTTGTCTTCGGCACTCAAATTGATGACTTCAGCACTTTCCAGGATTGCATGTAAGTACAGGTATTAAAAAATGCAAAGAAGATTTTGTTGCATTGGTGAATCAGTTACTTTATCAGAGGCAAATCCTGTGACATCCATCTAAGCAGATAAGATGCAGGCACACCGCTGTTGATATAATCTGGTAGTAAACACATTTTTATAACATTTTTCTCTCAGTGTTATTGCTGTCAGAGCAGTAAGCTAAAAATGGCAGGGCTGTGATATGATTTTTACAGCTGTTCATTACATTCCTAGACAAAGCAATGACTCCATGTTCAGTAGTTAAATGCTGACTGAAATGTTGGATGCATAATAAGGCTGTGTTCCTTACAGTGTTTATAGTTGCTTGACTCATAGGCTATCTTAGCCAAACACAAAATTCATAAGTATCTGGAATCCAGGAGAGAGAGAGAGGACTTAATATAAGATTGCTAATCAATTTTTCCTTGGTGGATTTGGTGCAATGTAACCTGATTGTAACTGAGGCAGTTAAGAGGTTGTTCCGTCACTGATTTCCCCTGCTCCCTTACACTGGGGCAGTGTTGCAAGGAGTTTCTTGCAGAGAAGTGAAGGAACTGGAAATATGCTGATGGTGCCATAAATTGCCAAGGTTTTTCTGGCTTAGAGGGAGAAGGTTCAAGTTGGGGTTGTATGTGCGTGAGGAAGATGGGAGTGGGTCTCAGAGCTTCATAGTAGTAATTGTTAGTTTGCTCTGCTTCCTGTTGTGACCAAAAGGGAGAAGTAACCCTCATGGTTTTGTTCTGTGTGTGGCACCTGACTGCAAGTTGGGTTGTGCCTATAGATGTGCTTGATGAATTGTTTTTGCAGTCCGTGATAAAGTGTTACAACAGTGCAGATCTCTCTGCAGCCTATCAGTCACACTGCTAGAGTAAAATAGTTTGAGAATCCTTGCACCGCTCCAGTAATGTTTTCTTCAACTCCTGGATGTATTTTGTTTTTTAAGATTTACTCAGTTCCGCATCATTTTGGGAGACTTCAACTTCACAGAGGTTGAAGAAGCTAATCGAATTTTGGGACCCATTTATTTCACTACATTTGTGTTCTTTATGTTCTTCATTCTTTTGGTATGTACACTTTGTTTAAGTGGGGTGGGTCAGTGGCTGTTTTTGCATCACTTGTCCTTTGATTCCTGCTTTTGGGACTTTTTCTGATAATGATGAGTATATGGCCCATGAAGGGGCCTACTGCTACATGGCTGATCACTACACTCTTTCCTGTTTTTCCTCATTTAAAATTGATTTGCATAGTATGTTTTTTGTCATTCTCATGTAGTGCTCCACATTGTGGTTTATTATTATTGTTGTTATTATTATTAAATAATAATTATTATTAATTATTGATTATTATTTAATAATAATAATAATAATAATAATTTGATTTCTAAAATCTAAATAGTGCCTGGTTCACAGACACAGCAAGGCTTTCTCTTGGTGAAAAGTAGCTGTACTGTTCTATGCAGTCTCTTGGTTCATAAAGTGCTCTAAGGTGTGGCTGGCTGTGTTTACAATAGCATTATTCTTGCATGCCACACATAGCTTTGCCTGCTGCAAGAGCATGGTTCTTCAGCAGTCCTGTGTCATCATAATTTTTAGTGTTATTTAGTGACCCTCATACTTAGTGCAGCTTTTTGTTACTATTTGAGATGAGGAGGAATGGCATTCAGATTTTATTTGTGGGAAAATACTTCATCTTGGATGTTCACTGGTGAGGATGTAGAGAGCTGAAAGTGTTTTGTGAGGAGTTTAAGTGTTCGGTGAGATGGACCAGGATTCAGTGGGAAAATAACATATGTGTCACTATGGGCCAGAGGTTCACATAAAGCAGGTTTCTTACTTGCTTTGTCTAGAGGAACAATCTAGTGTCCAGCAAGGGAAAGAAATACCTTTTTTCTAAGGGGCAACAGAAAAGCACTAGAAGGTGAAGCCAGAGCAGGTTATCCAAAATACTCACTGTAATTTATGGGTTTTTTAATATCATTTTGCCTGAACAAAATGTTGATGCAAGTCCCTTGAGACCAGTCTGAGACCAGGAAATTAAGTTAGGGAAGATGGGCAGAAAGCACCATCTCTTAAAGCTGGGCAAAATAGCAGCAGAAAATAACACAACAGTGGATTGTCAAGTTGCCTTTTAATTTTCTGGTGTTGGGCATGAATGCATAAAGATACAGCACTGAAAGATTGGTCCAAAGCATGTTTTTTAAGTCCATGAGGAAACAGAGGATAGCACTGCCTTTCTACATTGAACATGCCAGTAAATTGAGTAACTCTTCTTGAATGTGAATATGCAGTTTGTAATTCAGTCATATTTACTCCATGTCTAGCAGGAGCCTTTCAGTGATGACAGCATGGTTTGATTAAGTTACATGCTTGACACAGGGTTAGTGAGACAAATATTTTCTCCTTTCTCTGAACAAGAAAGCTCTTTCCAGAGTTGGTGCCATAAATGCCAATGCCTAATTTTAAGCTTTTTGATTTTATCTTTAGTTTGAAATGCAAGCAGAGATGTAACTAGATAAGAACCTTTGGTTTATGCTGGTTATTACAGGATAAGTAGTTAACTTGATTCCTCAGGAATTTTTGTTGCCAGCTGTTTTGCCTGGATTAATTCACAGCTGTTACCTGTGTAAGTTTTGCCTTGCAGGGTTTACTGCAACTGCTGTGTGTAGCTGTGAACCCTCTCTGGAAAGTAATTTTCCAGTTATGTTAATAACCAGTGATGTTGATTAGAATTTGTTATACTGCAGTACCTCATACATATTTCAATATCAAGCTCTGGATGTTAGTTTCTTTTTAAACAGATCACCATTTTCTTCTGGCCTTTTAAAACAATATCCATGTTAAGGTCTGCACAAGAAGGTCATAGGAGTAGTAGGGCTCAGTCTTGTTGAAATTCAAAAATTCAATATTTTTGTTTTCTCTTATGAACAGAACATGTTTTTGGCAATTATCAATGATACCTTCTCAGAAGTCAAATCAGATATGGCACAACAGAAGGCAGAAATGGAATTGTCTGACCTTATCAGGAAGGTAAATGTATTGCTTTGCTTGCTTGACATCTTATTTGTCACATCTGAACTTATTTAGTGAAATACTATATAAGCTGTACAAAGTAAAGCTGGCAGCAGCTAGTGAGAGTATACATCTCAGTTAAAATAAATTAAGCTGAGCTGAGTGTAAATTAAATGAGTGAAAACTTTCCATCACAATGTATTTCAGTCATCTGAGATTTTGCCTTGAATGATCATACTTAACACACTGAATGAGATTGTGCAGCAGCTGATTTCTGTAATCGATAAAGTTGTTAGAAATCTCATTTCATGAGAAACAAGAAGTTTTACTTTCTCTTTTAGGGCTACAACAAAGCCATGATCAAACTTAAATTGAAGAAAACTACTGTTGACGACATTTCAGAAAGTCTGAGACAAGGTGGAGGAAAACTCAATTTTGATGAACTCCGGCAGGATCTCAAAGGGTAAGGGAGATGTTACTTCTTACCTAGTATAGTATGCCCAGGGACTTGCGATATTAACTTTTTGATGTGATTTTCCTCTAGCAGAAGCACACTAATGTGGATAAAGACACACACCATAGTGTTTTTCTCTGCATTGTGGCTGGTGTTGGCAGTGCATACCAGAGAAAGGTTTTTGGAGATCTGGGGCCCAGCCTCCACGAATTTCTGTGTTTTGAGGAGAAAAACACAGAAATCTCTGAGGAAGCAGAGACCTAAGGCCTTTGAGGAAATGGTAATGTTTCTGTCAGACCACTGTAGGAGTTTGTGCTTAGTCAGGAGTCCAAGTCAAGGGTACAAATCAAGGAGATAAAGAAGGGAGTTATGAAGGAGAAATGTTCAATGTAGGGAAGATTGTGCTTTAACTAATGAAGGGTAAGGACTGAGGGGTTTTTATCAGTCTTGTGAATCTATAGACAATGCTGGGATGTCTTTGTCTTGAGGATGAAAGTCTGTTTGAAGTGAAATGTTTTCTAATACACAGAATTGTTTCAGCATCTGAAAAATGGAAAGTGAAGTGACTGCTTTTACCGCCTTTTCAGGAAGGGGCACACAGATGCAGAGATTGAAGCAATATTTACCAAATATGATCAGGATGGGGACCAGGAATTGACAGAACATGAACATCAGCAGATGAGAGATGACCTGGAGAAAGAGAGGGTGAGCTCAGCAATAGGAGTGGGATGTCACCAGCACTGTCTGCCAGTCTGCTCCTTGTGCTCGTTTCCTGCCTCAGAAAAATCCTCTTGTCTCCCTTCACTTTTGCAGTGGTTCCTGGCTGTCTGAGCAGAACTGTAAAAAGGCACAAGGGAACTGATAGAGGAAAGGAGCTCTTTGATCTTGACACCACCATCCCCCATGTACACCTCAAGTTTTTCATATCTTCTCTCTCTCTCTCTGGCTTGTGTTCTCCCAAAGGAGGATCTGGACCTGGATAGGAGCTCTCTACCACGTCCTCTGAGCAGCCGCAGCTTCCCCCGGAGCTTGGATGACTCTGAGGAGGATGAGGATGAAGACAGCGGACACAGCTCCAGGAGGAGGGGCAGCAGCTCTAGTGGGGTTTCCTATGAAGAGTTCCAAGTGTAAGTTTATCCTTCTGAGGGGGCCAAATCTGCATGTTGGGTTTTGGTTGTTTTTATTTTGAGTTTTCTTCTTTGGGTTATATAGTATTCTCTCCTTGATATTAATCAAGTTATTCATAAAAGCAAGTTAGGATTTTATTGTGCATAAGTCACTTCTTTTAGTAGCTTTCAAATAATATCTGAACTAGAAGTGCCTTAGAGAGCCTCATGGGAGCTGGTTAGAATATAGAAAATCAGAATAAACAAAAAGAGCCCAGCAACAAAACCCCTGTCCTTAAAACCTTGTCATTGAAAAATCAGAGAAAAAGGTCATGTTACAATAATGTCAGAAAATACTTTTCTGGTTTTTTAAGTAGTAGACCCTTGAGTTTATTTTGGGTTCAGTGAGAGTTTTGACGGTTGTTTTTAATAAGATTAAGTTACTCATGAGTCTGTATTTTGTCCGAAGTGATAGATCGCCTTATTAATTAATTACAGCAACACTAGCTGAATAAAGAATTACGTAACTGGTGTCCTAGATTGCAAGGTAATGTGTGCATTCTGTTCCCATCTGTTAGAGGTGTGGCACTTATCTTCTGTTAATTGGGCAGTTTTCTTTACCTCTTCCACAAACCAATCCTCCCTCTGGGGAGACATCTGCTGTTAATGGGCTATTAAGTGTCACTGCATGACTGATAAAAATTATATCATCCCATTGTGAGATTCTCTGCCCAGAGGGAGGAGCCAAGCAATCCTAACTGGATATAATCTGAGATTTTGGGACATCAGGACAGCCTTTTCCACTGGATTCCCAGAGGAAGACCAGGCCCATCTACACCACAGGTGTACACAGGTCAGGTGCACAGGGCAAATGTTGTGGAGTCTGGCAAATCTAGGGCCATCTCAATACACCACCTTCATTACAACAATTAATGCCTATACCAACCAAGAGACAATGGGCTCTGTCACCAACAAGCTTAGAAAGTAGGAGAATATGATCAATGGTCCGATGCAGGCTCACATCTCTGCCATGGTCAAGGAACTCAAGAGAGGAGATGAGGGAGGTGGTGAGGGAGGAGGTGAGGAGAAACAGTTCCCATATTACACCAGTGCAAGTCACAGGCCCCAAAGTCAGAGCCTTATGTCCCCCAGCTAGAGAAAGAGTGTACACCCCACGGGCTGACCTATAGTTTTTTCTGTATGACCATGGGGAAGACATGGGAAGGTGGGTATGGGACACCTACTTCTGTCATGGCAGCACAGGTGTGTCGACTCAAGGAGGGAAACACTAGCTGAGGGAGTTCCAGTAGGGTGAAGGTAGTCTCAACCTCCCATGACCAAGCTGCTGGGTATGATCTGTCAGATCCCCTTGAAGGTACCTCTTCTATGTATATCCAGGAAAGAAATAGTAACAGGGGTTAGAGGGGCCCTGCCTCTAGCCAGAAAGAGGCACAGGAAAACTGGATCTTGTGGACGGTGTGGATTCGATGGCATGGCACATCAGAGCCACAAAAAATATGATGCTTTAGTTGATACTGGTGCACAGTGTACCCTGATACCACTGGGACATGTGGGAGCGGGATCTGTTTCTATTTCCAGGGTGATGGGGGGGATCACAGCAACTGACCCTGTTGGAAGCCGAGGTAAGCCTGACTGGGAAGGAGTGGAAGAAATATCCTCTTGTGACCGGCCCAGAGGCCCCGTATATTCTAGGCATAGACTTCCTCCAGAACGGCTATTACAAGGACACAGGGACTCAGATGGGCTTTTGGCATAGCTGCTGTAGAGGCACAGAACATTAAGCAATTGAACACCTTGCCTGGACTATCAGAGAACCCATCTGCAGTTGGACTCCTGAAGATGGAAGAGCAACGAATGCTGATTGCCACCTTGACGGTGCACTGCCAGCAGTATCGAACAAATTGAGATGCCGTGATCCCCATCCACAGAACGATCCCTGAACTGGTGAGCCAAGGGGTGGTCAGCAAAACCCACTCACCCTTCAACAGCCCCACCTGGCCTGTGCAAATCTGACAAAGAATGGAGATTGACTGTGGACTATCGTGGCTTAAATGAAGTGACTCCACCGCTGAGCGCTTCTGTACCGGATATGCTGGAACTCCAGTATGAGCTGGAGTTCAAGGCTGCAAAGTGGTACGCCACTATTGATACTGCTAATGCATTTTTCTCCATTCCTCTGGCAGCAGAATGCAGGCCTCAGTTTGCTTTCACCTGGAGGGGCATGCAGTACACCTGGAACCGACTGCTCCAGGGGTGGAAACACAGCCCCACCATCTGCCATGGACTGATCCAGACTGCACTGGGAAAGGGTGAAGCTCCAGAACACCTGCAGTACATCGATGATATCGTTGTGTGGGAGAACACAGCAGTGGAAGTATTTGAGAAAGGAGAGAGGATCATCCAGATTCTGCTAGAAGCTAGCTTCGCCATCAAGAAGAGCATAGTCAAGGGGCCTGCCTGAGAAATCCAGTTCCTGGGAGTAAAGTGGAAAGATGGATGGTGTCAGATTCCCACTGAGGTCATCAACAAAATCGCGGTGATGTCTCCACCAACCAGCAGAAAGGAAACACAAGCTTTCCTAGGTGCCATAGATTTTTGGAGAATGCACATTCCTGAGTACAGCCAGATTGTGACTCTCTACCTGGTCACCCACAAAAAGAACAATTTCCACTGGGGCCCTGAACATCAGCAAGCTTTTGCCCAGATCAAGCATGAGATCACTTATGCAGTAGCCCTTGGCCCAGTCAGGATGGGACCAGATGTGAAGAACGTGCTCTACTCTGCATCCGGGAACCATGGTCTGTCCTGGAGCCTTTGGCAGAAGGTGCCTGATGAGACTCGAGGCCGACCACTGGGATTCTGAAGCTGAAGTTACAGAGGATCTGAAACCAACTACACTCCCATAGAGAAGGAAATTTAGGCCGCCTGTGAAGGAGTTCAAGCTGCCTTGGAGGTGATTGGTACAGAAGCACAACTCCTCCTGGCACTCCTACTACTGGTGCTGGCCTGGATGTTTAAAGGAAAGGTTCCCACTACCCACTATGCCACTGGCGCCACATGGAGCAAATGGATTGCCTTCATCACTCAGCGCGCCCGTATTGGAAACCTGAATCGCCCTGGGATTTTGTAGATAATTACAGACTGGCCAGAAGGTGAAGAATTTTGTCTCATCGATGAAGAGGAACAAGAGTAAGTGACATGGGCTGAGGAAGCTCTGCCATATAACCAACTACCAACAGAGGAAACACGCTACGCTCTTTTCACTGATGGTTCCTGTTGCATTGTAGGGATGAATCGGAAGTGGAAAGCAGCTGTATGGAACACCACAAGGCAGGTTGCACAAGCTACTGAAGGAGAAGGTGGATCAAGTCAAATTGCTGAACTCAAGGCCGTTCAGCTGGCCCTGGACATTGCTGAAAAGGAGAAGTGGCCAAAGCTCTACCTTTATACCGATTCGTGGATGGTAGCCAATGCTCTGTGGGGCTGGCTGGGAAGGTGGAAAAAGGCCAGCTGGCAGTGTAGAGGAAAGCCAGTCTGGGCTGCTGATGAGTGGAAAGACATTGCCACTTGGGTGGAGAAGCTACCTGTGAAAGTCCGCCATGTAAATGCCCATGTCCCTAAGAGTCGGGCTAATGAGGAGCACTGAAACAATGAGCAGGTAGGTCAGGCAGCAAAGATAGAAGTGTTGAAGATAGACTTAAATTAGCAGCATAAGGGGGAGTTGTTCCTGGCTGAGTGGTCCATGATGCCTCAGGTCATCAGGACAGAGATGCCACCTACAAGTGGGCACGAGACCGAGGGGTGGATTTAACCATGGACAGTATTTCTCGGGTTATCCATGACTGTGAGACGTGTGCTGCCATCAAACAGGCCAAGCAGGTGAAGCCCCTGTGGTATGGTGGGCGGTGGTCCAAGTACAGCTATGGGGAGGCCTGGCAGATTGACTACATCACACTGCCTCAGACACGCCAAGGCAAGCGCTACGTGCTGACCATGGTGGAAGCCACCACTGGATGGCTGGAGACCTACCCTGTGCCTCATGCCACTGCCCAGAACACCATCTTAGGCCTGGAAAAGCAAATCCTGTGGAGACATGGCACACCTGAGAGAATTGAGTCTGACAACGGCACCCATTTCAAGAACAGCCTTATCAACACCTGGGCCAGAGAACTTGGTATCGAATGGATATATCATATTCCCTATCATGCTCCAGCTGCCAGGAAAGTTGAACAGTGCTACAGGCTACTTTAGACTACCCTGAAAGCACTTGGCTTTCCCACTTAGAAATTGGGAAATGAGCTTAGCAAAAGCCGCCTGCGTGGTCAACACTCGAGGGTCCATCAATCGAGCTGGTCCTGCCCAGTCAGAACCCTTGCACAAAGTAGATGGAGATAAAGTCCCTGGGGTACATATGAAAGGTATTTTAGGAAAAACTGTTTGGATTAATCCCACCTCAGGCAAAGACAAACCCATCTGTGGGATTGTTTTTGCTCAATGACCTGGTTACACTTGGTGGGTAATGCAGAAAGATGGGGAAACCCGTTGTGTACCACAGGGAAACCTGGTCTTAAGTGAGAGCTGTGTGTAAGGTTTTATTGTGATGCAGATGGAAATAGAATAAGAGGTGGACAATGTCCTAGATTGCAAGGTAATGCGTGCATTCTGTTCCCATCTGTTAGAGGTGTCGCACTTATTCTCTGTTAATTGGTCCATTTTCTTTATCTCTTCAACAAACCAATCCTCCCTCTGGGGAGACATCTGCTGTTAATGAGCCATGGAGTGTCCGTGCATGGCTGATAAAATTATATCATCCCACTGGGAGATGCTCTGCCCAGAGGGAGGAGCCAAGCAATCCTAACTGGATATAATCTGAGATTCTGGGACATCAGGACAGCCTTTTCCACTGGATTCCCAGAGGAGCAGCTTTCTTCTCTGCTGGATTCCCAGAGGAAGACCAGGCCCATCTACACCACCACTGGATCTTCAGAGGAAGACTACACCCTTCTACAGGATCACTGCTTCAACAGAACCACGTGTCTCTGCAGGAGCACTGCAGCCACCATTTCAACTGGACTGCTACCAACACCCTGACCCACAGGGTGTCAGACTCCCGTCAGTGTTGTTTTGCATTACTGCATTGTTTATTTTATTTTTATTTTCTTCCCTAATAAAGAATTTTGTTATTTCTTTGTCCAAGAGCCCCCTTAATTTCAAAATTATAACAATTTGGAGGGAGGGGGTGTACATTTTCCATTTCAGGGGAGGCTTCTGCCTTCCTTAGCAGACACCTGACTTTTGAAACAAAGACACTGGAACCAACAAATTTTCATGATGATGCCGTAAGAGCAGTGAAAGCAGAGTGCAAGATGTGCTTTTTTCCCCATGTGATTTGACCCTGTTTTACTTTCTTGCTCTGGTGTACCTTGTCCCTCCTGAATGGTAGGACTGGTTTGTGGGAAGTCAGAGGCGTGCATGGATAACAGTGATGTTGCATTCTTGTCTGCTCTGTGTGTTGGCATGCTGGAACAGTGCTGGCTGGGTCACTGAAGCTCCCACTTGTTGTCCTCAGACTCATGAGGCGGGTGGATCGCATGGAGCATTCCATTGGCAGTATTGTCTCCAAGATCGATGCTGTTATCGTGAAGCTGGAAGCCATGGAGAGGGCCAAGCTAAAAAGGAGAGATGTGTTGGGAAAGCTGCTAGATGGAGTGACAGAGGTAAGAAACTCAGTCTCTGTGGTCTGGTCACAACCTGCATGTCTTCCTTTCTCTTGGCACTTCTTCCTACTGATTGGCTTGGCAGGACTGAAGGAGCGGTGGTAAAGAGGAGGTGGGTGCTTTGGCAGTAGGTGAGTGATTTCAGTTAGGTGTTGGAAAACATGAAAATTTGGGAACATGATTCAAGACACATCTTACAGCAACCCTGTGTCACCATTTAAACCTGTGATCTGGACAGCAGTGGTGTTCAGTAGTTGCTGAAGCAGTTCCTCCATCCCTTGGTGTCTGTTGGGATTAATACAATATTTTTTGTGGACTAGTCTGTTGGAGTCTATGGGATCCCACCCAATCTGCTCTTATTCTCCTATGTTCCTTCTGGGAGTGTGTGTAGCAGGTGGGAGAGGTCACTTCTGTCACCAGGGTTACCTGACTTCTACTGCTTCCCCTTTCACTCTCTCTTTCTTTGAGGTCTCTTTGGAGGTGGCCAGTGGGAGAAATGTGTTGTTTCTGTAGATGCTAAAATCTGTCAGGTGGAATACAAGTTGTGCTTTCCTAGGTGGCAACCTGGGCATTTCATTTCATCCCTGGAAATAAAACAGTTTGCTGTGGGAGCTGTTCCCTCATTGACCTATGGAAGTACTCAAGTGGTATAAGAATTTCTTGTTGTTGTATGTTAGAATCTGTGGTATTGATGATTCCGAGATTGTATAAAGTCTCTGTCTTTCTGCCCTGCTGCCAAAGAAGCCATAATTCGTCTGTGCTGTTTTCAAGGCTGTTTATTCTTGCTTATCTAGGAGATGTTCTGCTGCCCTGCCGCAGGTCTGTCCTGCAGGACAGCGTGCGGGGCTCTGCCCTTCAGTGGGATGGCACACATTATACACCTGTGCTATACTTAAAATAATGTGCCAATATCTCTCATCTACATTGAACAGTGTGTCCCCAGCCTAAACCAACAGAAAAATGCCAACACTACAGTGAAACATGGAGGGCATGAAGGAGGAAAAGGACAAGACACACCCAATTTCCTCCATCTTGTCCCCTTTGAACCCCTAATCTAGAATCCTAAAATTTTACTTTTGCACCTGTGCCACACTTAATTATTACTTATATCAAACACTCAGAGCTGGTAATTCATCCTGTAAGATTGAAAACTCTTTTCCATGGACAGAGATCACAGACAGTGTCTCTGGGGGCTCTGTACAGGGGGGTTCCTGACCCCTGCCAGGGTCCCAGACCTGCCAGGGCAGCCAAGAGGAAGCCCTGGATTCCCACAGTTGTATAGGGTTTTGCCTAGACTTCAGTTTGGAAGCTGCACATCCAGCTTGTGTCTTTTAATGTGTTTAGGATGAAAGGCTGGGCCGGAGCAGTGAAATGCACAGGGAGCAGATGGAGCGGCTGGTGCGAGAGGAGCTGGAGCGCTGGGAGTCGGACGATGTGGCCTCCCAAGTGAGCCATCGGCTGGGAACACCCCTGGGGCTGAACGGCCAACCTCGCTCCAGGAACTCCCGCCCGTCTTCTTCCCAGTCAGATGGCGTCGATGCAGGAGCGGGAAATGGGGGCAACAACATCCACGTGTAGCTTGAGCTTTGTAGGTGATTCCACATGTTTCAGGTCAGTATTAAGCTAGAAAATTCCCCAGCATGAGGGGATCGTTCTGATCAGACCCCTGAGGACATCTTTCATTGGTGGGAAAAATTAAATATTCACTTCATAAATCATTTGGAGGCCTGTGTAAGCCATGTGTAATGCCACCAGTGAGAGTGTAACCCTTGGAAACAAAAATGCAGGAAACTGCATGGATATCAAATAGGACAAAATCTACCAGGACAGAAATCTAATTCCATAAAAATATTATTGGGAATACTTGCACGAGGGCAGCAAGCTTCAGACAAAATAATGTCTAGTGGCAGGCATACTAAGAGGTTATTAATTTTCTTCTTTCTCTTGGAAAGTACATTTTTTAAAGGCTTTTAAAAGCAAATTTTAAAACAATATGGCATCAGTTTGTCTTATTCACTATAACAGCTGACAGATAAAACAGGACTTTTTTTTTTTTAAATATGAGTTTCTACTTGTCTTTCGTAGTTATTCTTGGTATACTAGTATTTTACTTAATTTAAAATTTTTTTTCCTGTTTTGAGAGGTACATTTCTTTAAGCTGAAGAAAGTGCACTTAGTTTGTACAACTGTAAATTACATCATTCTGTGGTAGAAACTGAATGCATTATACTTAGCATTTAGCAAGAAATATTTGAGAACTGCCTCTTCACACCCAACTAACAATAATTTTCAGCTATGTTGCAAAGTGCCCATTTTTTAATGCTATCTTTTAATGATTTAAGTGTTTCTGGGATAAACATTCCAGAGGTTCTTAGGTAAATACAGATACTTTGCAGAAAATACATTATTTAAAAGCACACAAAATTGAAAACCACTGAATTTTCCTTGGGTGTGACAGGGAGAGGGGCAGAGAAGTTTCTGACAGTTGGGAAAATCTGATCTTGTGCCATGTGAAGTTCTAGTCACATCTCAACTATGTGGTCTGTATTTACATTTAATGAAACTGCTTGTAAAATTATCAGCTACATTTCTACATAGACTTTTCTGCTGAGGTGCAACACAGGATTCCTTTGGGAAGGTGTTTGTATTGTAATCACTGATTTTTAGTATTTAATTCCCTCTGCTTTGTGTCATAGAAGCTTTATTTTTGAAAGGACATGCAACATTGAAATTCTGTTGATTTCCTATAGAGAGCACCGAGGCAGTGTTTGCAGTTTTGCCTAGGAATGTCTCCATATGTGGAATGCTGGTTTAGGAGGGAGGCTGTCAGTTGTGCTTTTCCGCTGAAGATGCCAGTTGTCTGGTGTTTAAAGACTGAGAGCTGGTGAAAATGATAATGGAAAGCTACATAATCAATGACATTTCTACTATTAGTAGGGTATATTGAGGGAAAAAAGGCCAGTTTAACAAAGTGTAAGTGTCATGTGTTATGTTGGTGCCTTCTGTTTCAACAAACAGTATCTCTTCATTCTTATGGGAGTGCTGCTTAGGCAGAACTTCCATGTTCCATATATTCTTGCAATGGCATTGCCTGGATGTGCAGTGGCTCAGAATGCCTTTCCTCTAACCAGAGAACTTGCTGAAACTAAATAGAATTCACACCTTTCAATTTTTAATTTTATGAGTAACCATACACACAGAAACCTAATTAATGTAAGCTGGAAGAGGAGGAAATTCAGTACTGGAATTTCATAGTGGCTGTGTCTTGAGAACAGAATTATGTAGGAGAGCAGGTTCTGGTTCTTGTGTGGGTTATTTGGTCCTGTATTGGGAAGAAATTCATACCCTTTCACAAGAGTCCTCATGAACTTGTGAAAACGGTGCACAGCACAGTGGATAGGGCATTTGTGTAGGATGAGGGCATTCAGATTAAGCTCTCTCTTGCCTTGATTCTGAGGTTTTACACCTCAGAAACATTTCTGAGGAAAGCTTTTCAGCGTTGAACTGCATTTCTGACTGTAAACAAACAGACCAAAAAGAAACACCAGCTGTACACACGGCCATCTGCTGTGCAAGAAGAATAGAAAATACTATACCAAAGCAATTTAAATATACAGAGCCTTGTCTTTATATACATATCCAAAATGTGTCTTTCAAAATGTAAATTCAGTCACTCAGTTCACCTTTCATTTGTACTATATGTTTATTATGAAAATGTTTGCATTAATAGCTGTATTTGTTGGGGTGTTTTTCTGTTGTTATTTGATAACAAACTTCATCTTGAAGTGCAGTAAGTTTCCATGGGGTACCCATGTACATTGACAGTGGACCTTGCAGTAAGTGCATTGCCACTTGATAAATGTTACAAACATTTTATTGATGCATTTTTCAGTTTTAGATTATAATATCATTTGTCACTTATTACAAAGGTACAGTTTTTTGCATAGTAATGTACAGTGTTTGGTCTTATGAGGAAGCTGTTAATTATGCTAGTCCTCTACAATGATCAAGAATGTATTGATCTGTAAAACTGAGCACTTTACTTCCTAATAAACATTTTATATAATCTACAAAGCAAATATTCTGCCTACACTTGGTTTGTTTATAATGGAACATGAAGAATCCTACATTTTATTTTATGAATAAAAATACAGTATGAATAAGGTATGAATAGCTCATACCTTATTCTCTGATTACCTAATAAAGAGAGCAGAGGGTGTAAATTAACCCAGTGGACTGGGCTGATCCTACTGCTTCATTGCCCAAACAATCCTTTTTTAACACTTCATTTCAGATTTGTATTCCTGCAAATCACAAGTCTGCTTTCTGCTATTTCAGGTAGCAGCTCCCACTGCCAGTTACTGACTCTTCATTACTTGCTGGGTAATATAATTATTTTTTTTTTCTCTATTCCCCCTTTTTACCCCCTTGTTTCAGGAGGGGCAGCATCTGGAGGGTTTGAATAGAGCTTGGAAAGCCCAGGCTCCCATGTAAAACCCATGGTTCTCTCTGGACCAGCTGTATTAATAAAACTGTATTAAAGAAAAATAAATTATTAATGTAAATACATCTCAGTCTTTAATGAAATACATACATACTGAATTTGTTAAGTATATTAAGCCTTTAGTCAGTGCACTATAAAAGTCAAAGTGTTTGGGAAGTGGAAACTTTATTTATTTATTTATTTAATACTGTGTGAATGCTGTAACGTTGCTGATTTTGGAAGTTTTCTTCAGGAAGTGCAGCTTGAGATGCATATTTGGAATAAGAGCTTTTTGGAGTAATTCTTCCATGTCCACAGGCATTACTTGGGTGTCTTTTACAGTCAAAGATTCTTCTCCAGTAAATCTAAACAAGAAATAAAACTTGGTCAAAGAACTGAGGAAAAGGGATAAAAAGGTTATGATTAAAGGTCTGCAAGAAATTGTCACTTGTATAACAAGGACTTCCAGGTTTTAATCACTGATCATGCGAAATAGGTACAGAAAGGTGGAGTGACAGCTTAATGGTTCAGGTGACAGACTGAAATTCAAAAGAATTGTGTTTTGTGTCACCTCACACTGCTGCCTTAAACACACACTCAGCTGCTTCCAGCTTGGATCAAAGGGCTGCTACAAACATGCTGCCTAATCACCAGTAATGCTAAAACACAAGTTTTCCTTGGATTGGAGATTCTGGCAGCTTTGTAAGGGAGACTGAAACTGCATCCCAGGAAGCAAAGAGCAGCAAACTTGTGCCTTCTGTAACAGACCTGAATTTGGATGAAGTGTGAGAGCAGATTTGCTACAGCCAGGTTTTCAGGTGTTTTGGAGCAGGCCTACCAGAGGTGCGGGGAGTGTACTGGGTTTGTGTGGCTCTCAAAAAGTCATTAAAAATAAATGCAGTAAGATTGCCGAAGGACCAATCATGACATTTGCATCAGCCACAGTTTTGCTGGTAACATAAAAAACATAATCCAAAAAATCAAATCAACAATATTCAACTCTTGCAGAGTTAGAATTCATTTTAACTCCTGTTCAAGTTTTAAGACTTCAAAACCAGTGAGAAGAGTTAGGCTTTGCTTTCTGGGAAGTCACAGTAGAGGTGTTTTCGAAATAAAAACTTAGCACTGTCAAAAATGCCTGTATGTGCTGCTCAGGCTGCTGCTTTTCACTGTTGCATGGAGAGTGATGTGCTGTGGACTCTGAGAAACACTCAAACGAAAAGAATGCTCCTTTCAGGCTAAAGCTGAAATTACCAGTTCATTCCAAAGTCTGAGGTAAGCACAGGTCCGTACTGCCATCACCTTTTCCTGGAGCCAAGGTGGTGCTGTCAGACTGAGTTCCCCAGCTCCTCAGTTTTAGATGTCTGTGTGCAGAAGATGCAGCCATGAGAAACCTTGTTCTGCAGAAAGGCGGACCTGGCAAGCACTAGAAAGAAATTTCTATTTCTCTCAGTGTTCATGTGTTGCCACAGCTGTGTAGTAAAGGCCACCTGTGTTTCCTGGCATAGTTATTTGAAACAGTTAAGTGAAGAAGCAGGTTTGACAAGGGCTTTAACTGTCTTAAGTAGTTGTAGTTTCATGCCCAGCAAGCAGTGGACTGGGAGAGGAAAAGCATTTACATTCAGGAGACTTCTCCCCTTTTTTTTTATGGCACAGGAAGATGAAAATGTCTATCTGACAGGAGAACTGATTTTTTTTTAAAAAAAGAAGGGAAATATTTAAGTTGAAATAATTTGTTAATGTCTGTAAGAACCATAATCACAGATTATTTAGCAAATTGAAGTGTGTCACGTGGAAGACCCAGGGAAGCAACTCCAAGAGTGTTTGTTGGCATTGCTGTTATTTACATTATCAGATTATACTCTCTCCTCCTGCTTTGTACTTTTTGTGTAAAAAGACATGGCTGAACACAAAGTGAGCACTTGCTTTCCTGAATGTTCAAGAGACAGCAAGTTGATGCTTATAAAAATTTTTACCAATTAATATCAGAAAGGTAGTCACCTTTTTTTTAATTTTCTAAATTATGATGTTCTCTTTTAGAAGATCATTTGTGTACGGCGTGCAGAAAACCTGGCACTGTACTAAGGAATACTGAAATTTTTCATCCAGGAAATAAAAGTTTGAATACTTGTAGTGTTTATCAGCATCCCAGAGAAAATTTGCAAACTGAAAATAAGTAACTACAAATCCATAACAGGGGTCATTTGGGTACATTTGACTCACCTTGGACTGATGCTGGTGAGTGTGCACAAAAAAAGGCCATCATGTTTCCTGCAGTGCCTGTCTCAGCCCTACAGAGCAGCGTATTACATCCTCAGAACTTGCCTCTGTGCCCACTGGGACAGTGGAAAAGTAATCAGAAGGCAGGTGACTATTTCATAATACTGGGGAGTGAGGGAGTAATTGCAGTGTTGTGTCTTGAAGAAGTTCAACAGACTTCTACACAAAAAGCTTCTGCATCACTTCCCTAAATTTTCCTCCTATTCCAAACCGTGACACAGGGTGACTAAGATTTTGGCAATGCAGCTTTCTTGAGAATGAATCAGACATGACCCAAAACCTTATGGAGGCAAAGATTATTTCTCTTGAAATATGAAGGAAATACATGAAACTGGAGAAGCAGAGTTTACTTATTTTAGTAGGTTGGGCTGCCCAACCTACCACTGAGTCTATGCATCTGTTTTCACATGTACAGAAACTGGTTTTTTTTGGCTCTTAATCTATAACTATTTCATCTCTGAAGAGATAGACATATATAACTTAAATTTTTTTGTGATGTTGCTATCCTAATTGTTTTCTTTCTTTCTTCTCAGTGAATATTTTCGTATCAATATTGTTTGACAGCTTCCAGTGTCCACCTAACATAAATTCTTTCTGTCTTTTATGGTATTTTTTTTTCAATTCCTGCTCTGTACTGGAAAAACACAGAACTATGAACCTTTTTATTGATTTATTCTGTTTTAAAGGGATGCTACTCTACAAGCACATTTCTCAATGCCTCCTGGAAAACCTAAATGAAACAAATGTTTTTTCCTCACAGGTGGTTAGTATGCAGCCTATGAGGTTCTTATTTTATCCACCAGCACAAAAGTCAAGAAAGATGATGCTTTTATGCAGCCCAAAGCATCCAGCCAGTGGTAGTGGCTTCATCAGTAAAACATGTAGGCCCATGGTGAGAACTAGAGGGTCAGCAAGCACTCAGACGCTTGTTAAATCTTTGCTTTTGAACAAATACAATTTATAAACCCTTGGTACACTGTGAAAAATAAGTCACAACCCCCAGGTCGGTATCATAGGCCTTTTACATGTGTCACATTTGAAAAGTCAGCAGCCTATATTATGCAGTTGTCCAAGTATGTGTGTTTTCCATACTGTCTAGCCTTCTGCCTCCTCAGCAAATGCCATTCATACTGCTCTGGCACCAGGCTTACTAACCTGCTTCACAATCCACTGAAATAATCCTTTATTCCAGAAGACTAGCTCCAACAATTGATATTATTAATTATTAAATATTTTTAGTGCAAAGAAGAAAATAGTATAACTGAATACCAGTGATTTCAGTTTTGTCAGTGCCCTTTTGCTTATTAAAAGCTCTCAATTAATAGACGTTTACTTCTTAGGCTGCTCTTAGCACTAGGTTCCAGTTTACTTTTTTCTTCTTCTTAATAAATACAGAGCTTTTTCAGGCTCCTCTGAATTATGGCATTCCAAACCTGTGTAAGTTTTAAATATTCTTCCTAGGACATGACCACTTCCACTGGGTAATGTATTAGTTTTCTCTAGCCCATTTGCTATCTGTTCTTGCCTTTGTGAATAATCACTACAAGGAAAAAACAATTACTTTCAGTTACTGACACAGAAAAAACCAAAACTTTAGTTTCTGTACTGAAAGCAATAAAATTTAAAAGTGGTATTTAAGAATATTATAATAAAGTTCCGTTCAAACTAATTGAAGTAAATGAGTTTAATAACTCTTTAGAAAGCATCAACCTCAGCTTGTGATTTATTTTAATTGAAGTTGTTCAGATGGAGGATGTAAAGAAATACATCAACTAGATTGAATACTCTAAAACGTAAATAAAAGTAAGTCTTTTATAGTTTCCAAGAGTCCAGATTAAAACACTTAGTGTCAAAGTGTAAGCAAACTAAAAAGGAATTTTCATCCATGAAAACACATTTTCAGTTGAGTTACTGATATAATCAGAATCATTAAGTTCTGTACATCACACTTGTTAAATGCTAAATGAAAGTTACAAAAAGCTCAGGAAAACAATGGTGTCAGGCAGTTCTGTCATTTTTAAGCCCGAGCAATGCATGAGTCTTAACACATAAACTACTTGATCCTTGGTACCTTCTCACTAAGATCCTGCCGAAAGGAGCAAAAGTCAGGGATAATTCAGCTCCTGAGCCAGTTGCAGGGGAAAGCAGGGATCATTTCAAGACCAATTTGCAGCAGATTAATGAAAAGAAGGCTTAATGAGCCACGGACCCCTAAAAGAATGTTGGACAAATCCACCTCTAATGAGGGTAGGGAGATAAAAAAGATTGTGAGAAATAAGTCAGGACCATTAACCTTGGGCTATGAAGGAGGTTCTT